GTGATCAGCAGAGTTTACACGTCACGTTTTGGTAACGGTACGGTTCACTTGGAACCTCAACCGAGGTGGTACTAAAAAAAGTACCAGGTACCAGGTACTGTACCCAGTGGAAAACCCCCCAAAAGTGAACCATACCGAGCCGTACCGTGCCGTACCATGCAGTGGAAAAGCGCCATAAGGGGACTTAGAAACAGAGTGCCTGCTATCAGCGTGCCTCTTCTCTATTAACTTCGTGAGATCCCCTCTACTCTCTTTAGCGTCACACCTCCTGTGTGCTCTAATCCTGGAAGGGGGAGGAGCAAGAGTGGCCACGCTAGATTTCTGGTCCTGTCTGCGATCCTCGGACTGAGACGGACCAGCCCCCTCAAAGGTTTTGGGAGATGATCTAGAACGATTAGGGATGTACCTCTTGAAGTCTGCAGACTGCACCCTCGCCTCCTTAAACTTTTCAACCAACGCCTCAACGGATGTGCCAAAAAGCCCAGAGGGTGAGAGTGGAGCATCAAGGAAAAGGTTCTTCTCCTTTCTCCCAATGTCCACTAGATTTAACCACAGATGGCACTCCGTAGCCACCATTGCGCGATCGCCCAGCCGATGGCAGCAGCGGTTTTCTTGGCAGCATGGAGATCGAGATCTGTGGTGCAGCTCCTCCATAGCCTCAGGGTTTGTCCCCTTACCTTCATCTAGATCTTTCAGCAGGTCTGCCTGGTGGGCCTGAAAACACAGCCATAATGTGCAGAACCCCCGCGGCCTAACCTGCTGCCACATACGCTTCTGTTTCTCATGCCCCCAACCAACTCCAGTCTCTTAGTAGCACGGGCCATAACCTCCAATATCTCCCTGTATGTGGGGCTGGCGTGCTGAGATGACTCAGTGCTCACACTTTCCTCGTCATCACCAACTACATCCACGTCCTCGTCTGGATGACGCCAGCAGCTTACTAACTGCCGAACCGGACGACTCGAGAGAGAGCATGTCCAGATCCTGCGGCTTTTGACAAAAGCAGCAGAAATATTTCTCGTTCTCCAAACCTTTTTCCAGTTTCTCCACAAGCTCCACCTGCGATCGCCACGATTGGAGCTTCAGGCGTGCCTCAACAACATCGGGACCAGAGCTGCAAGGTGCAGATGTCTGTCTTGCATCCCTGGAGAATAATGACATGGGCGATCTGTCTGAGCTTTTTCATTGCGAATTTCTCGCAATGAACGCATTCAGTGCCCTCTAACACTGAACACACATGCTCCTCTCCCAAACAGATAACTCATAGGTCATGCAAGTCCTCAGGTGTCCCTAGGGGATGCAGTGTGGAGTTCTCTTGAAGGATAATCACATTTTAAGAACTAGAGAATTTTATATTCACTTACAAATTGATTTAAATGCATGTGTGTGTGTTTAGGTTGCAATGCATGTCTTTCTTTCCTCGTGTGTTGCTTCAATAACACAGCTAACTTTAGACTGCTTCTCTTTCTTTCTTGTTCTGCTTTTCCTTTGCAGGAGCCTCTGTCCACTGCTTCTACTCTTGAAGACACACAATATGATGTTAAGGTGTCTCATTCCACACTGTTTCCATGTTCTTACGTGTTTTAAAAAAAAAATACTTAATTTTCTACTCAGGCTCTTTTAACACCAAAAATAACAATATTAAAAGCGTGCTTTCGAATACTTTTTAGGTGTTCCAAGTGACAGTTTAGTGTACTTGGTCAGGATGATTAGAAAATTAGAATGACTTCTGACAGTAGTTGTTGTTTGTGTAACCTTTAAAAAGTCCCAATTCAAAATCATGCATGCAAATTGTCTTTGGTCAATTAATTTATTTTTTCTACAAACTAGACATTATATTTGGTATTTGGTAATATGGTAGCCTATTTTACTGTAATGAACATGCAATGGATTGTTATCGTGGGCATTTAAATACCATGAATAATTCTAGATGCCTTATTATCCTAATTGTTTACATTTATTTTAGAATGCTCATTAGCTTTTTTTCCATTAACTGGTTAAAAATATGTCAACAAAATTGCTGTCTGGCAGTAGATGGTACTTATAGAACAGCAAATATACAGCAGTTACCACTGTTACCTAAAGCAGCATTACCATTTTCTGTTTCTGACACCAGTTTGTGCTGCGAAAGACAGGAAGTTAAACAGTATGTAAATGTTTGCAAAAAGCTATTGTGTTATTGTATTTAAATGTTTATGGTTATTTTTTATTTGAAAAATTCATGAAACTTATTAAGGACACAATATTGAAGTTTTTTAGTAACCATTTTTTAGCAGTGTACTTAAGTTCTGTGGTAATACATGGTTTATCGTGACACAATCTTCAGCAATTATCGCAATATAACAATTTTAAACTGACACATGCCTACTGCAAACTATATGATAATATTTACCTGCTGTGAGAACAGAATGCATCAACATATATGATGTCATGACTGGATCATTACACTGGATAATTTCACTCAAGCATGATCAACTGCTCAAAATCACACCCATGATTTCTTCATATCTCAATCATCACGGTTTGTTTCATTATGTGATGTAGAAAAACGCTACCCCTTTTTTTCCTCAACAGCAGCAATCTCACTCTGCCCTGGAGGACGACTATAATTGTGAGTTTGCTGGCTTGAAGGACACCTACCTGGCCATTGAGAGGAAATGTTCAAGTATGACTGTCAGCTCCACTTCAAGCCTGGAAGCTGAGGTGGATTTCACTGTCATTATGGACTTACACAGTGATGTGGAGGAATTTTCTAGAGGCATGACTGAGCTGGTTGAGAAGGACAAATTAGAGCTGGGCAGGGAGAGTTTTGACAACACTCCCAGGTCTCACTCCACCTGTCACATGAATTTGCAAGATGTATCACCTGGAAGAGAACATCTCCTTGAAGGTCGTGGTCACCAAGATATAGAACCTGTAAGGGCGAGTTCGTATTCCATAAAAAGGTCAAGAGAGGAAGAGATCTACAGAATTGTGACATTCATTACATAGCTTAAACTACATTATCATATTGCAAATTGTTTTATGCCTTTTTTCTTTTAGTGAATATCATTTGTTTTGGTAACACATTTGAATTTGTTACTTTTAATTATTTTCATTCTACTTCATTGTGTTTATTATTATTTCATTTATAAGAAATTCCTAAATCAAAAAGTCATCCACAATGATTTAATTATAGCATTGTATTGGAGAAGATTTTCTGAAGGGAAGACTGCAACAGCAATAGAAAATCCACTGCAAACATTTGGATTTGAATTTAAGGCCCCTTGTAGTATAAGGGTGTTTTCACACCTAGTTTGTTTGAGCCCTGCAAACGCTCTCGGAGCGGTTCAGCTCGAATATGTGAACAAACATGTGATCTCAGACTCACCTAAAAGGACCCACAAGCAAACCGTACTCGTTTAGTTTGTGGGTCCGTTTGTGATTTGATTTCCTCGTGATTTATGTAAGTAATGAGGTCCGTATGTTCACTCTGTATGAACGAACATAACAGTATTATATCTTATCTTATTATATATTATCTGCTTGAGATTGAACTAAGCAGTTTATATATTTATATAAAGCAGTTTATGTATTTATATTTTATGTATATTATTATTTATTGATGTCATTTCAGAAGTTTCAATCTCTTGTTACACTTTGCATAAACTAAATAAACAAATAAGTAAATAAATAAACTGACTGTTAACTTGAACAATACAAAATAATTCTGTTTTCATTTATGTAATCTATGGCTAACTGTGCATTAAATTATTTAACGCATGATGGAGGCAAATTACGTCTCGGGTTACGCATTTAACCATGGTTCCCCGAGAGGGAATGAGACGCTACGTCCCCCTCTAGGGGACACTTTGGGGAATGCTGCCAGCATGTCTGAAGCACTTGTAAAACAACACCAATCCTATTGGTCCACGTGGCCTGTGACGTCATAGGCGGTTACCCAAAAGTATAAAAGGGCACATGCTTAATACGTCACCAACTTAGTTGTCTGAGGAGGCTACCAGAAAGGGACCCTAAGAAGGGGAGCAATCACCGAGCTATCAAACAGCTAGTCCCGCACAGCTAGCCTAAATAACTACAGTAGGTAAACCCTCCTATGAGGCTGCCCAGACCACAAAGAGTGGGCTATCTATTTACAACCCTAGCAGGGGAGACAGCGCTATCTAGGTGAGGGCTCCAGGAGACCGGTACCCTAAGAAGGGGAGCAGTCACTGAGCTAGCACATAGATATCCTCTGATAGCTATATGAGTAGGAAGGGCTACCAGAAGGGGGACCGACTGAAACTCCCCAAACCACAGAGAGTGGGCTGTCTACTTACAACCCAAAGAAGGGAGACAGCACTGTCTAGTTAAGGGCTCAAAACCCTAGGCAGGAGAGCAATCACTGAGCTTGAACATGGCTATCCACAAATAGCTAGGCTGTAGGAAAGGGGACCACTGCAACTGCCAAGACCACCAGCAGTGGGCTGTCTAATTATAAACCCTATAAGGGGAGTCAGCACTATCTAGGCATGGCTCAAGGAGACTGCTACTTAAAAACCCTAGGCAGGGGAGCGATCACCGTTTCCTCAGATAGCAATGTTTCCGGGAAAGGAGATGTGAAAACACAGCTAGCTTCAGATAGTAAGCCCGTCCTGCCATAACAATGGCTAAAATATAACCACCCTCAGATGGCTATGCTAAGGAGGTCCCCAATCAGTGTCAGTCCCACAGTAGGCTAGAGAGCACTGTTATATTGACCAGAGACTCACAAGAGGGAGATCCAAACCATCAGCACATGATTCACTAAAGAGTGAACACATAAAAAAACATTAGTCCAAGATCAAAGCCGGATGCAAGCAACAGCCATAACACTAGGTGGCTGGACACAGCTATCCTCGAATAGCATTTCTCTCAGATAAGGCTGAAGTTTGCCCAGACCATGGAAGTGGGCCATCTACTTAAAACCCAAATAGGGGAGACAGCACAGTCTAGGCAAGGGCTCAAGGAGAACATTACTTAAAAAACCACAAGGGGGAGCAGTCTTCGAGCACAACTATCCTCAGATAGTTCGACACAACTATCCTCAAATAGCAGATTCCTAGACAAAGACTTCAGCACTTACCTGAGAGAGCTTGTGCCAAGGGGAACCCAACCTAGTCATAGACGTCAGGCTAGAATATAGATGCCCTCACGCTGCTATATTCCAGAGCAAAGCAAGCTTGAGCTGCAGCATAACCATCCGCTCTGAGCAGAGACTGTTCACTTAAAGCACTCAAGAGGGGGAACTGTCTACTCAGCCCAAACTTACTGAGCGGGATTCAGAGGCACCACCCACTTAAAAATACCCAGAAGCCTGGGGAGGCAGCCCACACCTAAACCCATGGAAGGAGCATAGGAAGAAGCATTCCCCATAACCACTCTAGGTGACTTAAACACCCTGGGAGAGAAAGCTCGCAAGCGTTTCTCCACGGACATTCAGTATATCCATGCCCAGCGAGGCTCTCTACACACAATAAAAAGCATATTAGAGAGGCACAGCTGAGCTGAATATAGCTCCGCCCGTGATCTCACAATCTCGTAAGCTTGGAGCTAAAAACGACTTGGTGCTCACACTAGAGGTCTTCTCGGGTTCTAAAATCTGTACCCGACCCGAATCGACCCGAATCACTTCTTGCCCGAACCCGACGTGCATAAATTACATTTTTTTAAAGAAAAACCCGACCCGAGACAGACCCGATGAAATTAGACCCGAGTCCTAGTCATAGACGTCAGGCTAGAATATAGATGCCCTCACGCTGCTATATTCCAGAGCAAAGCAAGCTTGAGCTGCAGCATAACCATCCGCTCTGAGCAGAGACTGTTCACTTAAAGCACTCAAGAGGGGGAACTGTCTACTCAGCCCAAACTTACTGAGCGGGATTCAGAGGCACCACCCACTTAAAAATACCCAGAAGCCTGGGGAGGCAGCCCACACCTAAACCCATGGAAGGAGCATAGGAAGAAGCATTCCCCATAACCACTCTAGGTGACTTAAACACCCTGGGAGAGAAAGCTCGCAAGCGTTTCTCCACGGACATTCAGTATATCCATGCCCAGCGAGGCTCTCTACACACAATAAAAAGCATATTAGAGAGGCACAGCTGAGCTGAATATAGCTCCGCCCGTGATCTCACAATCTCGTAAGCTTGGAGCTAAAAACGACTTGGTGCTCACACTAGAGGTCTTCTCGGGTTCTAAAATCTGTACCCGACCCGAATCGACCCGAATCACTTCTTGCCCGAACCCGATGTGCATAAATTATTTAAAAAAAAAAAGAAAAACCCGACCCGAGACAGACCCGATGAAATTAGACCCGAGTCCAACCCAACCCGACTGCATTTATTTTCGAACCAGACTGGACCTGAACGTAAACAGCATTGACGTATCCACAGCCTGCAGCCCCGCAGCCAGTCAGGAAAACCCCGGTGTCCTGCTGACTGATTGGCCACTTCTCCATTACTTTCATTTATTTAACATTTATTTAATTTTATTATTACTTATTTGTTATTAATTATTATATTATTGCCTTGCCTGATGGATACAAGTTATTTCTGAGTTCGGCTTTCAGTTGTGACCAGTGGATTTGAAAAACAAACGTGATAGTTTGATAAAAAATAAATCGATAGCTTTTCATGGCTAATCTAAAGCATAACTAATGATCATAGCATAATTCATGGCTTCGCTAGTGTTGTCTGCAACCAAATTTCCGGCGAAATGCTTCTGCAAACAAAAAAGAAAAGCCCTACATGAATACGCAGAGTAATGAAGCGGGTGGATTTTCCTAATGGATCTTATGTCTGTAAGATTGATTTCTGTTGGCGAGGTTAACATATGCTCCTTTTCTTTTTACAATTACCTGAGACCCGAGGCCACTAATACTGAACCCGACCCGTGTCCGAGGCACTCGTAGAAATTTTGGACCCGAACCCGCTCAGGTCTCGGGTCGGACCTCGGGTTTTCGGATCCAAGTGGACCCGTGAAGACCTCTAGCTCACACTTCATCGTTATAGCAACGCAGTAAAAGCATTATCCATGGCATCAGGCACCCCGATTTTTAAAGGGTATGCGGACACCACAGATCAAAGCAATTGCCGCGAGCTGAGATAAACCGTGCTGCGGCAACTGCCCAAGAAACAAACGCTTTGCCACACATCCCTGGGGAATAGGAACAAGAGCTAGTGGAGCATTATCATTGCGACTCATCACAATGAGCGTGTAGTCACCGAGACAAAAACGCAAAAGTTAGAATATGCCCTCAAGGGCTAGAATCCAAACACGAAGGCACACATTCCCTAAAGCGCTGCTCGACCCACCCGGATGACGTTTCACACGTGTGAACAAACAGACGGCTCCGAAGACAACAAAAGTTGGTGATGTATTCAGCAGGTTCTCTTTTATACTTTCAGGTACCTGCCTATGACATCACAGGCCACAGGGACCAATAGGATTGCCGTTGTTTTACACGTGCTTCAGACGCCGGTCATGCTGGCAGCATTTCCCAAAATGTCCCCTAGAGGGGGACGCAGCTCGAAGTTCCCTTGAAGGGGAACCACCCAACACGCAGCGGCGATCTAGCATTCTGCTCGCTTCAAATCAGAGACAAAGATGAAGTAGTGCTGTAAGATCACATGTATTTGAATGCATGAATTATAGCATTGATTTGAATTCATTATCGAGAGAGAGATGAAAGTTACATGTGTGAATTGCGTCTGTGCATCTCATTCTGCAAGAGTGAAGCTGTGAGTTTCGTTACTTCAAAACATTACTTTTACCCCCTAGTTGCTTAGAAATATAATGTAGCAATTCAGTATCGAAGCTACTATTTTAATAAAACTTGCGTGGTAGAGTTGACAACAAGTGTCCATGCTCGTGAAAATTTCCATGTGTGCACAGTGCTATCTTCAATCTCTGTGAGTGATGTGCACAGCGCGGGTGTCAATGAAAGCAGCAAAACAATATAGTAGCAATATAAAGTTAGTAGCAAAAAAAAAAATAATAATACTATCTTATCTGAGGAAAAAAGCTAATTGAATTAACTTTATACTTAATGTTCCCTTTTAATTTTAAAATTTACTGAAATGCGTTGTTAAAGCTCTGCAAATGTCTTGACTGGTGTCATGATCAGAGATTGCCAGCTCTTTCTCACCCTCTTCCCTGTCCAATTTATCTTCCAAATTTTCCAGTGGGTCAGACTCCAGCATTCCACTGCTGCACAGAAAGCTGGAGTCTGGGTTCTTATGAAGTTGTGGTGTGAACAATAAAGAGTCTGAGATCAGGTGCTGGAGTGATCCAAGAAAAGAACGGGTTATTTTTTGAGTCCACTATATTGTGAACACCAAAAGGAATGAGGTCACTTTTGGCTGGTTCCCTTTCTGGTTCATTTTAAGTGAACTGGGTTTGGTTCCTTTAAAACGAACTATATGTGAAAGCATCCTTAATGTGAAATGTGCTGATTATGCAAAATAAATAAATAATAATACTACTACTAATAATAATAACAATAATAATAATAATAACTCATTAATTAAAAAAAACTAAATAACCAGACTCATCATTATGGAAAAAACAAAAATGAGAAATAAAATGAATGAGAAATAGTTTCCTCTTGACAAAAATTGCTATATTTTTCAAATGGAAAATATTTCATTTGAATTAATTTATAAATGTATTAAATAGCTAATAATAATTAAACATTTTGTATTGGACCTCCTCTGTTTTACTGTGAACTAAAAATATTTTGGATACCAAGCACTTTTTTTTTCATCATCTGAAACATGTCATTAGTGTCATTATTGATCACATGCACATCATACATATGTGTAGATCATGGCCTTTATATCTGTTATTCTAATTTTACCTTCGAACAAAACAGATTTTACTTAACCCATTTGGGAGTCACACTTGTGATCATGGTCAAAAGTGGCTAAAATCTAAAATCTAAACCTAAAATCACTTTTGACCTAAAAATGTTCTGTTTTGAATTTATAAAAATCACAGCTTCATCGGAATGGTATGAAACTTGGTGACTTTTATGGCATTTGGAATGTGAACAAGCAAAAAAATTGAGGGAATGATTTGAGCAGGCTAAGTGGTCATAAAAAAAATAGTCACACTTGTTCCTGTCATTATAAAACTCTCCTTTCACTCGGCAGCTGTGAAGTGGAGCAGGACAACCTCCCACCAGTCGTTGTTTTGGATTCTCATCCACAGACAACCCGTTACTGTGTGATAAATATGAGCAGCACAGCACAGCGTTTATATGTATAGTTATAAATGATCCATAAATGGATTTTCATATATATTTCATATATTATGATCCATAATATGGATACATATTAATTCTGCTTTTAAAAACACATAAAGAAACCATGTAGGAGAGTGGTTATTATGTGCAAACAGTGAGAAACTATATTTGTGCAGTGTGAGCATGTAAAAAAAAAAACTATTCCGATTTGAAGCTTGTGACATATAAACTCGCACATCAACCCGATCACTTTATTTAGCATTCATGTAAACACAACATTCAGATTCATCAATCGGAATGAATTCAGTCCGTTTGAACCAAAAATTGTGCATGTAAATGTAGCCAGTTAGAGTTCAGAATCAGCACATGGTCACTGTCTAGCGGGCTTTGTTTTCAAGTGTGCAACTCATGGCATTCGCTTTTCTTCTGCTGGCGGTTACAAACAGCGTTGCATTACAGGGTGCCCCCTTCTGGAGTGAGGGTGAATTGCCTGTATTCATTGTAAGGCCTCATGCACCGAACCAAGATATCTGTACCGTGACGGTTCGGTACGAATACATGTATCGTTACACCCCTAGTGTGTACGCGTGTGTGTGTGAGTGAATGTGTTGGTTTTGCACTCTTGATGTTTTAGAGTTTCACCCCGTCATTGCTGTGTACTTTTTTTCTGAATTGTGGCAGATTTGTGGATTGTATCTTAGAATTTTTTTTTTTTTTTTCGATTTCCAATTCATTTCCTATGGTCGGTCATTTTTGACCGAAGACCACAAGTGTGACTATTTTTTTTATGACCACTTAGCCTGCTCAAATCATTCCCTCAATTTTTTTGCTTGTTCACATTCCAAATGCCATAAAAGTCACCAAGTTTCATACCATTCCGATGAAGCTGTGATTTTTATAAATTCAAAACAGAACATTTTTCGGTCAAAAGTGACCGAAGAGCACCAGTATTACTATTTGTAATATTACTGTTTGCAATAGTACTGTTTGGATTATGTGATATCAAGTACTCAGCAGACATATTGTATACCCCACATACTAATGTAACTATTTTTTCCTTTTTTATTCATCAGCCCTCTGTTGCCAAGAAAGACCCCAGTGCAGTGAATGCAGCCCAGATGTTGAAAAAAGGAGCAGTTCAAATGGAACTGCATTCTAATGGCTCTGAGGCTCCTGTCAAAGACATCTCTGATCATGTAAGAATATAACTATATTTTTTTTGCTCCAGTTGCTGAATTTCATTTAAAAAAGTTCATAAAAGTTACTTTAAATACAAACCTAAAATAGTTATTCAATTCTAATTCAAGACTGTAAGAGGTGCGGAAAAAGTTTCCTTTTTAACTAATTTTAAGTTTGACCAAGGTGGTCTTGCTGGGTTGAGTGTGAGTAGACCAGTTGTCAGTATGCAAACAGTGTTGTGGGTAACCTAGGTAACCTAGTTCTGTCAATGAAGTCAACACACCACAGTATTGCCCTGCTTGCAATCAGTCTATAAATACAGGTGCGAAGTAGCCAGTGCTTTTTTTGCCGACTAGTGACAAGTGCTCCCCGAGTGACCACGCCGTGTGGCGTGTTGACTTCATTCACAGAACTAGGTTACCTAGTATGGGTCTACTGTGTACCAGATAAGGTCAGGAGGGGAGATAAAACCCAAGTGGGGCAATAAAACTCAAGGAAACAAATTCATGCCAACAGAACATTTTATTAGTTTTCCCTGTTATTTACACAGTTAAATCAGCGGGTTTTTAGCACCTTGATATTGTCTACATAAGGCAGATCACGTCTGCTCTGCTGTTTGTTGTAGCAACATCCAGATGATAGAATTTGGCAAATGTCACAGATGATGACCAACCAGCTGCTGCACACACATCCTCCAGAGAAGCACCTTTAAACAATGCCCAGGAGGCAGCCACTCCTCTTGTAGAGTGTGCCACCACTCCCTTAGGAGGCATCCCTGCATTGTGATAGGCTAGATCTATCAGCCTGACCACCCATTTTGCCAGCCTCTGCTTGGACACTGCCTGGCCTTGCACAGAGTACCCATAACAGACAAACAGCTAATCGGTATGCCTTACCATTTGTGTGCGAGAAATGTAGCTTCTCAGTGCCCTGACTGGGCAGATTAGATGCAGTCTGGATGCTTCTGTTGAATTGTGAGGAGGTGGATGGAAGGGTTCTATCAGCAAAGGCCTGGAAACAAAGGAACGGGGCAGAACTTTTGGCAGAAAGGAGGGGTTTGGAAGAAGTTAAAGAGATGAGCCGCCTTCTCCTAATCTTAAACATGCAGGGTGCACAGAGAAGGCACAAATTTCACTCACCCTCTTAACTGAAGAAACAGAGAAAAGAAATGCAGTCTTCAATGTAAGAAATTCCATCCCTATCTCATCTAACGGTTCAAAAGGAGGTTCTGTCAGAGCCTTCAAGACAATACCCAGATCCCATGAGGGAATTAGCCAAGCTCAAGATGGACACAGTCTGTCAGTCCCCTTCCGTTGATGCCTGAAAAGAAGTTGAAACCCAACTGTGCAACCTCCATAGCCTTCATGATGATCAGATATATGATCAGATATGTGATCCCCACATGCTTCAAGCAAACCACCATCATCCCTGTTCCCAAAAAAACAACTGTCTCCTGCCTGAATGACTACCGCCCTGTAGCACTGACATCAAATAAATGCCTCTTGACTCTTGACTCTTGACTCTTGATATAGCAGCTACATACCCTCTCAAGGTTGATTCAGTTAATCCAGTCTCCAGCAGGAATTGGAGAAATGACATCATGGTGGCCCCCTCAGCAAAGCGATTTAACAACCAGGAGGTGCAACCAGGAGGACTTTGGCCCTCAAAATCCTCACCTTGGCTAGGACTGAAGGCAGAAGTGGGAAAGGGGGGAATGCATCCAGTAGAACTGGGGACCATTTGTTTGCCAGAGCATCCACCCCTAGGGGCCCACCATTAAATACCACAGGAGGTAGTGTGTGGTTTCCTGTGTGGCAAAAATATCTACTTTGGCCTTCCCAAACCGAAGCCAGATGGCCTGTACCACTGCTGGGTGAAGTCACCATTCTCCTGGTCTGGGACCCCCCTGGACAAAAGGTCGGCTGCTACATTGTCCTCTCTCGGCAAACGTACAGCCCTCAGGGACACCCCTTGTATAGGTGCCCATAACAGGAGATCCCGGGCCTTCCTGTGTAGGGATATTGAATGTACTCCACCCTGGTGATTTATGTATGACATGACTGTTGTGCTGTCTGAACGAGCAATCACCTGCTTCTCCTGAAGCTGAGGAAGAAAATGGATCAAGGCCCGAAATACTACCTCCAGCTCCAAGAGGTTTATGTGTGCTCCTATCCAAGAGGCATCCTATTTTCCCTGTATTGGATTGCCTCACCAGACAGCACCCCGGCCTGCCTGTGAGGCATCTGTTTTTATGGTCTCCTTTGAACATAATGGGCCCAGCTTGACTCCCTCCTTTAGGCCTGGAGTTGAGAGCCACCACTTGACTGCTGGAAGACAATCCAGGTCCCTTTGAATCATTCGCTATCCATTCTCATATGGACTCACTTTGTACTTTGCTAACCATCGTTGTAATGGGCGCATGTGAAACAACCCCAATGGTACCACCTAACTGACTGCTGTCATTAGGCCATGCAGTCTCCGGCCCAACCTCACTGTAACTTGCTCCTTTTTGAGAAACTTGGACAGGCACCCCTTCAACAGATCAGTGGAGAGATCAGAGATGCTCTCATTAGAGTCGAATTCAAACTCAAGCCTAGAAATGTCACTACCCTTGTGGGAGTGAGACAACTCTTTTTGCTGTTCAGACTCAGCCCCAATTTCTGCAAGTGGGCTAAGACCACCTTTGTGTTGCTCCTGGCTTGCTGCTATGTAGGAGAAAAAATTTACCAATCATGCAGGTAATTGGCAATACGTGCAATATGTATGCCCTGGCGACGAAGAGGAATGAGTGCGGCATCCATACATTTGGTGAAGGTGCGGGGAGCCAATGACAGACCGACGGGGAGAACATTATACTCATAAGCATTGCCCTGAAAGTAGAACCTCAGGTACTTCCTGTGGTCCTCATGAATTGGGATGCGGAAATAAGCATCTTGGAGATCCACTGTTGTGAACCAATCCCCTTGTCTGATGAAGGTTAAAAGGGTTGAAAGTCAAAGCATACGGAATGGCATTCGCTTTAAATTATGATTTAAATTCCTGAGATTCAGGATGGGCCGAAGACCCCCCATCTTTCTTTGGAATCAAGAAATAGGTTGAATAAAACCCCTGCCCTATTGATCCCGAGGGCAGGCATGTTATTGCTCCTTTTCCTAAAAGAACTGAGACTACGTCTTTCAGAGACCTGCACTTTGTCTCTAATCTCAAAACAGTAGGAACAATTCCTTAAAATTGGGGTGGCTTGGATTTGAATTGGAGCCTGTATCCGAACTCCAAGGTGCTCAGCACCCATGTACATTGAGTGCATTGGCGCCGTGGAAGAAGAAAAACGTGAGGCCGGAGGTTTATAACCTTCAGTGACGGTTTCTTCCGCCTGCTGCACGTGTGCTGGAAGACTCTGCCTGCCATGTCCTACAAAAGGACTGCTGGACTCCTTGTCTTGGCCTTATGGGTGCCCCTTGGGCAGCAGACCGGCGCTGACCTACGAAGACCTGGCTTGATAATTCTGCCCGGGCCCAATTGCTGCTCCCAGCTGATGTGCGTAGCCCACAAGTAGCTGGTGCTCGACCCACTGATAAAGTCAGTTCTCTTGTCCTACGAGACTGCTCCAAGGCTGCTTCTGCAGGTGGTCCAAAGACTTCCCCATGCACTAATGGAGCTGCAATGACTGCCATGCAGTCTTGATCTAACAGATTAGCTTGAGATAGCCATACCTGATTGCATGCTTGAACCATATTGGCCATGGATAGCCCCAGGGCTTGAGTATGCGCACTTGTTCCTTGGATCAGCATATCAATTACTCACAATGTCTCTGGGATGTTTTCCTCATCTGTCAAAGTGGAGAACAAATCCTGCAGCAGACCCTCTAAATAAACCAAGAGTAGAGAGTTTGTCTTGCCGACAAGGCAGAGGCATGAAAGGCTTTCCTCAGCTGACTGTCAATTATCCTACCATGCTTTTTAGGGTGTGAAGCATCTCTTCCAGTCCTGGCCATAGCCCCCATCAGCATAGCAAGTGTGGGTCCGATCTGAGGAGCTGTAGAAAGCCCATAAGCTGCTGCCCCTGTCAAGTTGCCCAGCTGTGTCCTAGGGAGTGCTACAGAGCTAGGGGGCTTCCATGAAGACTGCAACTCTAAAATCGGGAAGTATTGGCAACCCCTCTGTTTTTCGACGCTGAGGGCCTCTATCAAACACTGAGGTTGATGTTGAAGCAGCTTGGGAAGGCAGTTTTGCATGCTCAGCTGCTCTGCTTTGTCTGAAGGGTCCAGTGCAATAGCCTCTGAAGTCTCTGACGCACTATACCTCGTTTATGACTCAGAGATGTCATCTGGTTATGAAGGCACAGAATTTTTATCCCTTCCAAACACTCCAGACGCTGCCAATGAAAGCTCATCAGGGTGATGGCATGGCCGTTTTGTCAATGGCAACATGTTGACTGAGATGAAATAGAACATAATATTTGTAATATATAAAATATTACTATTTAACTAAATTTGTTTAGTTATGTTATTAAAAAAATCAAACTGGTAAAATGTGAATCAGTTTATTCAAGGGACAAAATTTAAAAAGAAACATCTGTGATATGTTACTGTTTTTGTCTTATCTTGTGTCTCATAAAGTTGAATCTTTCTAGAATATAACTGAAAATAAATGGCATATGCCTTCCTGAACAACTGGGTTAAAGGTCTCAGGACTCATGTCCTCAATGTCATGTGTCTTTCTCTCTTGTCCTTTATAAAACTCCACTTTCTTTCTTTCTTTCTTTCTTTCTTTCTCTGTCTCTCTACCTTTGTGTCTACTGCAATACAATATAGTCAAACTCTGACAATGCTCTCCCAAATATTTTGCTGTTATGTCTTGCTCATTTCCTTTACAGGTGTAAGTAGCAGTGGGTGGTAATATACAAGAAATGCTGATACTGTTTCTTTAGTCATTCAGCAAATCTAAAAGCTGGTTCTTTTATGTTTACCTTTATCAGTCATACATGGGATAAAAATAGTATTTCACTGCATGCTGCTATGGTGCCATTTGCTGGCAACGAGACTGTATTTTCAGGTTTTATTGCTCTTCACTGTATTGCCTTGGCACTTATTGATTATTTTCTCATGTTTGTTGCAGAAACTGGAAGAGAGCACAGTTAAGGAGGCAAAAGAGAATGAGTCCCCTGTGAGTCTGGTCATATAATCACTCCCCAATAAATAGTGGTGGACCAATGTTTTTGTTTTTTTTTGTCATGTCTGATTCTGATGTATAGAGGTGGCTAATACAATACAGATACAATGCAGATATTATGTTCACATAATACAGTTTAATTGATATTTAAATTATATGAAACAGTTTATTGTTTTCATTTCTTTTTCTTTCTTTCTTTCTATTTGTTTATTAATTTATTATTTTTGACAAGACTGTTGGTAGATTTTAGAATTGACAAAAGGGTTCCTTTTATGTTTATGGATATGGTTATCATTAATCTTGCCCATGTTTAGACACACTGTACCCCATAACGACAAAGAAAACTGTGGTAACTGCGAATTCATTATGAAAAGTAAAAACTAAAATATTACATTCACTTAAATATTCAGACCCTTAACTCAGTACTTAGCTAAAAAATATTTGCTTAATTACAAACTCAAGTTTTTTGGCTATGATGTGACACCTAGATTTGAGGATTTTCTGCCATTCTTCTGTACAGATCCTCTGTCTGTGATCCTCTGTCCTCTGTAAAGAAGCTCTGTCAGGTTAGATGGAGACAATCTGTAGACAGCCACTGCTTTTTAGCTAATTCAGGCTTTGATGCATTTTGCACTGAGGAAAGTCTTCAGTCTGGCCATTTTTCCATAAAGCCCAGAATGGTGGATTTTTTTATTTTTTTATTTTTTTATTTTTTATTATTTATGTAGCTCCATACAAATAAAATATGTGCTGTCCAAGGTGCTTTATAGTAGTACAATTAAAAAGATGTACATACAAGTATAAAAATAATGTGGATTCGAAATTCACATAGCATCACAAAGTACATAACATTTAACCCATAAAAGAACTGTACCATAAAATAAATAAATTAAAAGGCAGGAAAATTTTAATTTTAGACTAAAAAATAGATAGAGTGGGGGCTGATCTAAGAAGTGGTAGACTATTCCAGATATTAGGATCAGCTGCCTCAAACACTCTACCCCTATGTTTAAATCTGGTTCTTGGCACCTTTAGTAGAATTTGATTACTGGATCTAAGTGATCTAGGTGGCTAATGAATTGAAGGAGGTAGAAGAGATATACACAGTTTCATCGGGTGTATGCGCTTGGCCCGACGTTAACTTCTGGTCTGTGTTTTTTTATCGGTTAAAGTTAAAGTGATGAGTAGACTGAAGTTGGGATCAGGTTGTTGTGCTGTGGGATGTGTTTCCCATACATTTATTTATTTGTGGCAGCCACAATATCAAAACTGACTGCCAAAAATTGATTTTCCAAAAGGCTTTGACTTTGCTGAATAAACATGAGCACTGTATGTTTCAAAATCAAAACGCGGCGCAGGTGTTTTGGTATCACTGCCTTCAGGAAATTTTCGATGTAATTTTCATTTCATCTTGCCTGTAATGCCTGATAAAGCAGCGTTTGTGAGTGGAGCGCTGCTTAGTGTACAGCCGTTACTGGGGAAACCTCTATTTCTGCCACTCCAAAAGCACCTCCTGCTGGCAGAGAATGAATTAGCATTTTCAGTAAATATACACTCTAAAAATTGGGTTGTTTTGACCCAGCTATTGGGTTGTTTTGACCCAGCTGTGGGGTTCAAAACAACCCAACCGCTGAGTCAAAACAACCCAATAGCTGGGTTTATATTTAATCCAGCATTTTTAGAGTGTATTTTGCTTGTTATCAGAAATAATATTCTCTGGAGGGATTTTGCTGTTGTTATTGTTGTTATTGATTCTTTGTGGAAATCTACCGGAAGTTCAGTTTGGGCACAAAAGCTTGCATGTGCAGCAACGTTTGTTTATGTTGCCGTTGAAACCATCTATATGTGAGCAAGGTTAATAATAGATTTATAAACTAAAATGTGTACTTAATCAAATACAATAATCCCAGTCTTCAAGTCATTTAGATGCAGGAAATTCGGCGACATCCAATTCATTAGATCTTTAAAACAGGCTGTCATTGTCTTGAGTATTTTTTAATGGCAAGTCGTTTTAGGTGTCATCTGCATAACAATTGAATGATACTCTGTGTTTTCTGAAAATATCACCCATTGGAAGCATAGAAAGAGAGAAAAAATTAATGGAGATTTTTGGGACTCCACAGGTAAGACTAGCCAAGAACGATTTGCAATTTGCAATATTGACTGTACAACATCTTTTGGTCAAATAAGACATAAACCATTGAAGGACATTACCCCACAGGCCTACATAGTGCTCTACAAAAGAAATAGGAATGGAATGATTAACTGTATCAAAGGCTGCCATTACGTCCAGAAGAATTCGGACCAGGGCTTGTCATTAACACCTGCCAATTGTTAGTTGATTTCAGAAGGACATGTAACACAGTCACTCCCACTAGCTACTTTAGCAGGTTACATTTTATATCCAGTAACTTAGATAGACAATATTGCTTACCCGGGACAAGTGGAATTTTTGAAGGGGCAACTAACCTGATTAAAACAACTAACTAGTGTAGTGATATCAGATGTTAGATAGCTTCACAAGGGGCACCACTAAATATAGTGATTTTAGATTTAAGTAGCACCACCAGTGTAATGGCTTTGGGCTTAAATATTAATATTAATACTTAATTTTGGTCATACTATTTTACAGGGCACCAGCCAAGGAATTCTGCCTTGACAATAAAGAACAATCATGGAAGATTGTTGAATAAATAAGAATTACATTTAAACTATAGGAAGTTGTAGTCTGACCAATCTGAAGTATTTGTGAGATATCGTTAACTTGTAGAGCCTTTTTACTGTATTATCAGCACAAGGAAGACACAAGTGTAATAAAAGGGTTTTTATTAACAAAGGGATAGACAAGAGTAACTAACGATTACTAAATGGATACAATGAATGGATAAAGTGCAAAGATTGAGAAATGCAAGTGACTGAGTTGGATTTTACTATGGACATTATCTTATGGAAAGATAAGCTGAAGTTTCCTGGAAGTAATAAGGTAAACTTTATTCTAGGTTCAACAAATAAATCGAGATATTATTTGTTATTAACTGACATCAGTTATATGGAATCTAATGCAAATTAGATAATCATAAACTGACAATACACTAATGCCAATGGTTACTGGAAAGAGGTTTGGAAAGGGTGATATTTATGCTCCACGTATGGGTGGCGAAATCTCATGGAGAAATCAAAACAAATGAACACAACTGCACACAGAAGAAACATACTCTGCTAAAAATGAAGTTTTTATACTTATAATATATGATACAGCCTAGTTAAGTGACATGACACGACCAAGAGAATGTGTTTCTCACTGAAAACCGGTATGAAATTTGATGTTAATTTTCATATAAAAGTTCATACAGTATAGAAGTAGTTAATAATGAGTGACTGGTATTTCAAACAGTCAATCATCTTTGCTCAATTTGATTAACCGAAAATAGTTCCAAACAAAGAAAAAAGCAAAACAGTCACACATCTCTGAGCAACACGATGAGGTTTTTCCTTTAATTAATTATTTAGCATTTAGGATGAATTGGGTGAGTCAATGACTACGTTTACATGTGCACGAATAATGCGATTATTTCCAATAATCAGAGTAAGGACTTGATCGCATTATGATGTTTACATGTCAAGAGCAAAGCTCTTCACTCCCGTTTACATGCAATTTCCATTATTCTTATTATTCGCTAAGAATTGTGGTTAATTTTTTACTGCCATTATTCACACACACTGCACAAATGATGGACTCAGAAAGAGCAGGTGTGTTACTGGCCGCTGTTTTAATTTATTTACGTCTAATGCAAAACACTTTTGTATATTCCATGCTTTTTGGCGCCATAGAAATGTGATGGCAATTCATTTGCCTACACTGCCGTCGTGCTCTACTCGCCGTTTCTGGATGAGGGTAAGAGACTAGTGGCAGCGAGTTGTGCTTTCCCCAGAAATGCGATGCTTTCTTCCCCGCCATCGTTTCTAACAATATGCGTATTATTACTGGTGTGTGTCACATCATTCATGTATGTCACAAGCACATGCGCACTTTGGTCATAGTGGCAATACTGCGATTAAGGTGTTTACATGCCTGTATATTTCGATTAAAATCAGCGTACGCCACCTATGTTAATACGATTATGCTTGCTGCGATTATGAGCTTAATCACATTATTTAGATCGAATTATTGCATTTACGGAGAGATACTGTTTAATCGCAGTATTGTCAAAATCACATTATAAAGCAAGGCAAGGCAAGTTTATTTATATAGCACATTTCGTACACAATGGTAATTCAAAGTGCAAGAGGCCTCCAAACAGTTAAGCCCCCTTTTTAAAAAAGATGTGGGAAGTGTGTCAAGATAGCAGGTTGACAATTTTAGGTGCTGTTTACTATTACTATTTCTTCCAAAATTTTGCTATCAATTGCTTCAAAAATAGACATAGTATCTTCTTTTTGATATTGCGATTGAATCTGTCTGACCTCTGCACCTCTGACCTTCCTGATATTAATGATCTTCTGAGAAAAGAAGGAAGCAAACTCATTGCATTTGCTGTCAGAGAGCATTTCACTGGAAATCTGACTTGGGGGTTTTGTCAATCTCTCAACAGTAGCAAAAAGAGTGCAAGTGTTGTTTAAGTTACTGTTTATAAGGTTTAAGAAGAAAATCTGTCTAGCAGTGGCTAGTTCCACATTGAAAGCATGAAGGCTGTCTTTATAGATGCTATAGTGAATGTCAAGTTTCGTCTTCCGCCACATCTGCTCAGCTTTTCTGCATTGTCTTTTCATACTCTGAACTGCTGTTGATTTTCTCCAAGCTGATTTCTGTCTGCCAGACTTCTTGCTGACTTTTACAGGAGCAATATCATCAATAACATTCTTAACTTTTGAGTTAAAGGAATCAAGGAGAAGATCAACAGAGTCTGCAGAAATGCTTGGTGTTAAAGAAATAGCCTCCATAAATAGCACATTAGTGTTCCCCTTCAGGAACTCGAGCTGCATCGAAACGCTAC